CTATCATCGTTACTAAGGCAATTGGCCTGAAAGTAAACAGATAAGAAATGGTGTGGCCGTTATGTGTAATGTGTAAATGGTGTGTGCCGATAGGGGAGGGAAATCTGTCAGAATGAAAGTAGCCACAATTTGAACGGCGGGATTACGGGCGTACTGTTCTTTTTTCAAAATTGTAAAGTGCTTATATTACATTATTTTTAAAACAAAGGCTTATTTTAAACTGTATTTTATATAAATACTAGGTTGTACACTTAAGAATTATCTAGTAGTTTATCGAGAAATCCTCAAAGTGATTTTAAACTATTGTGATTCGCCCCCAAAAAATCATAATGGACTCTTTCCTGGATTTTAAAATGATCTATAATAATGAAAGCGTAATATGCTAATTAGACTGGACATCCTTCCGGATGACCTTCCGGACAAAGCCGGGGCTGCAAGGGAAGCTTGCGTCCCGGGTGCCAGAGGGAAGCCGGTGCCAGCAGCCGGGGGAAGGAAGGCCTGCTTTGCACGAATTTCGTGCGTTGGGCCTCTAGTATTTTAAGATAAGGGAAAATGGTGACGGGTAGTTTCTGACTATCTCTGAAGCATCGCTTTTTCATAAATACTTCAGCTGGACGAGGAATACTGTGGCGTTGACTTTTCTCTGGTGGTTTTTAGGGGAATTACAGTCATGCTCACAGATCTAGGCACGTGTAGGTAGCAAGAGCAGACTTGGTCGTGTGAACAGCGAAACGTAAGCCGGAAGTTCACAGTGACAGCGTTCGGATGGCACCACCATCTGCAGCCCCCGTCCCGGGCCACAGAGGAGGCCCCGCTCTGCCCTCTCACTGAAACCAGGGGCCGTGTGCGCAGGAAGGAAACGCCTGCCGGTCCGAGGTCAGAGGCAGGATGGATGCTGGGGGAGAGGGAGGATTTACTGCGGGGTTTTCCCGAGCCCCTGACCTCCGGGAGATGCTATTCCTGGTAGGCATGGGGGACACCCGGGCACACCGGGTCTGTCACGTCGCGGTGCCGTGGCCAGGTGTAGCCCTCTCTGTGCCGGCCGGAGAGGCACGGCTATGAACTTGGACTCAGAGCCCGGCCGGCGGGGCTCCATGGCTGAGCGTCGACCTGTGAACCAGGAGGTCCCGGTCCGATACCCAGTCAGGGCACGTGCCCGGGTTGCAGCTCAATCCCCAGTGTGGGGCGTGCAGGAGGCAGCCGACCCATGATTTTCTCTTGGATATTTCTCTCTCTCTCTCTCTCTCTCTCTCTCTCTCTCTCTCTCTCTCTCTCTCTCTCTCCCTTCCTCTCTGAAATCAATAAAAATAATATTTTTTAAAATTAAGTAAACTCGAATCCTGACCACATCCGGATCCCGGAGGCACAGGGACTGCCTGTAGCTCCTTGGAGACGTGTGTCTGACCGGGTCTCCTGCCCACGAAAGGCCTGGAAAGGGGAGGCCTGCGCCCTGTGCCATGAACTGAGCAGCCGAAGGAGCTAACGAGGGTCAGTGTGAGGCAGAGAAAGGCTCACAGGACCTGGCAGATGCTTTCAGACCCTGAAGGGCCGCTGTTGGTAGTAGCAGCAGCGTGTTCCTGGGGGCCTCAGGGGGGCTGGGTGGAGAACGGACAGCTGGGGGGCCACAGGCTTCAGCATAATGCAAAAGGTTTCCTTTGTTTTTTAAAAAAATATATATTTTTTTATTTCAGAGAAGGAAGGGAGAGGGAGAGAGAGAGAAACATCAATGATGAGAATCATGGATCGGCTGCCTCATGCACGCCCCACACTGGGGATCGAGCCTGCAACCCGGGCCTGTGCCCTGACCGGGAATCGAACCCTGACCTCCGGGTTCACAGGTCGACGCTCAATCCCTGAGCCACGCCGGCCGGGCCATAATGGAAGGTTTTCTTACGGTTGGAGCTACCTCCACAGGTAGCGAGATGGTGAATTCTAGGTGCCTGCAGGCGGGGGTGCTGGAGGGGGTGCCACACTGTGCGGTCAGACCGGGACACCTCTGACTCGCCCGCCACCTTCCAAGCTTACGTGCCCACAGCCTCCTCCTGTCCCCCAGCTGGAGGCTCATGGGTGGCACCCACGCCTCTCTCCTTTGCGCCCCCTTGTCAGCTGAGCCCGAGAGGGGGGAGTGGGTGCTGGTTACACGCCTGTGCCCCTTTCCCCAAAGCAGGTGGCCTCCCCTCCACACCTGCCTTCATCTTTATCTGAACCCAAAAGCACTGAAAATGGGCTTCATTGGTTTTACAATGTTGTCTGCTCTGCTCTGGGTGTGAGGTTCAGGGCACCCCTCCATCTTTGGGCCCTCTCTCTGCTCCCATCCCCTCGGAGACAGACAGACACGCCCTGTAGAGCAGCGGTCACCAACCTTTCGGACCTCAGCGACTACACATGGCCCGCGGACCGCCGGTGGCCAACCGACTGCTGCCTTAGAGTCTAAGGCAACCACCAGCCAGGAGCCACATGCAGGTCGATGTGCCAAAGAGCTGATTTCATTAGAGATTCCTCTTCCTCAAATTAATATGTTTTTTTTTTTTAATTAAATCTTTATTGTTCAGATTATTACATTTGTTCCTCTTTTTTTCCCCCCCATAACTCCCCTCCTCCCAGTTCCCGCCCCACCTTCCGCCCTCACTCCCCACCCACTGTCCTCATCCATAGGTGCACGATTTTTGTCCAGTCTCTTCCCGCATCTCCCACACCCCTTTCCCCCCCAGGAATAGTCAGTCCATTCCCTTTCTATGTCCCTGATTCTATTATAATCAACAGTTCATTCTGTTCATCAGATTATTTATTCACTTGATTCTTAGATTCACTTGTTGATAGATGCATATTTGTTGTTCATAATTTGTATCTTTACCTTTTTCTTCCTCTTCCTCTTCTTAAAGGACACCTTTCAGCATTTCATATAATCCTGGTTTGGTGGTGATGAACTCCTTTAGCTTTTCCTTATCTGTGAAGCTCTTTATCTGACCTTCAATTCTGAATGATAGCTTTGCTGGATAAAGTAATCTTGGTTGTAGGTTCTTGGTATTCATCACTTTGAATATTTCTTGCCACTCCCTTCTGGCCTGCAAAGTTTCTGTTGAGAAATCAGCTGACAGTCGTATGGGTATTCCCTTGTAGGTAACTGAGTTTCTTTCTCTTGCTGTTTTTAAGATTCTCTCTTTATCTTTTGCTCTTGGCATTTTAATTATGATGTGTCTTGGGGTGGTCCTCTTTGGATTCCTTTTGTTTGGGGTTCTCCGCGCTTCTTGGACCTGTAAGTCCATTTCTTTCACCAGGTGGGGGAAGTTTTCTGTCATTATTTCTTCAAATAGGTTTTCAATATCTTGCTCTCTCTCATCTTCTGGCACCCCTATAATTCTGATGTTGGTACGCTTGAAGCTGTCCCAGAGGCTCCTTACACTATCCTCGCATTTTGGATTCTTTTTTCATTTTGCTTTTCCGGTTGGGTGTTTTTTGCTTCCTCGCATTTCAAATCATTGACTTGATTCTTGCGCTCCTCTGGTCTGCTGTCGGGAGTCTGTATAATATTCGTTACTTCAGTCCGTGTATGCTTAATTTCTAGTTGGTTCCCCAATATAAGATCGAGGGTCTCATTAGTTTTCTTGTAGATCTCATTAAGTTTATCGGCGGCTTCTAAACAGTTCTTGAGAGACCTTAAAAGTGTGGTTCTGAACTCTATATCTTCCATTGACAATTTTGTCCTGTTTCTTTGTCTCCGCATTTTGTTATGCTTCCTTGGTGCACCCCCTAGTGGTCTTTGTGTGCAGTCTTATAGTTAAATCTTGATTGTTGTAGCTAATTCCAGGGAGGGTTTGACCTCCAGGCCAAGTGGCTATGAGAATCAGCTGTGTCTGCAGTGAGAGAACTTCTGTCCTCTAGGGAGGTGCTAATCTAGCCTTTGCCTGAGGCTATCCGGCAAATGCCTGTGTGCAGGGCTTGGGCGGGGCGGGTCGCACAGGATCAACAGGGTGGGCCCGAGAGAGCAGTTATGGCGGCTCTCAGTCCTGTCCCCAGGGGCTCTGCCTCTCTGAGTCCCAGCACCCGCTGCAAAGCTCGGAGAGAAAGCTGCACTCGCTCTGACTGAAGCCAGACAGTCCCGCTTCTCCCGTTTGAGTCTGGGTCCCTAGAGACTCGCCCGTATCTGGAGCTCAGATTCTGCGACTCCCTCCCGATTGAAAACGCCAACCGCGCCCTCCACCGCTGGCCCGCTCCGCGCACTCCGCACCTCAGAATTTGACTTCAGCACTGCGCCTCCTCTGAGTGTCCGTATGCATTTCTCTTTCCTCCTAGTTGTAGGACTTCCACTCAGCCAGCGTTCCTGTGGTTCTGGGTGATGTCCCTTCCGTTTTTTGGTTTCACTTTTGAAGTAGTTGTTCAAAGCAGCAAACTCCAGCGTTAACCTATGCCGCCATCTTGGTTCTCCCAAATTAATATGTTTTAAAAACTACAAGTGATCATTAGAAATAATTCGTGTTTTCAGACCTACCTATCTGGACACGATCATTTCTGCGGTCAGGGTAGGCCTGTGTTGGCACGATTTGATGTGACAGGATTCGTACATTTAGAAAGTGAAACCAGCAGAATTTCTGTATCTTTAATAAATAGATTTTTATTGATTCCAGAGAGGAAGGGAGAGAGAGAGGGGAACATCAATGATGAGAGGGAATGATTAATTGGCTGCCTCTTGCACACCCCCTCCTGGGGATTGGGTCTGCAACCCGGGCCTGTGCCCTTGACCAGAATTGAACCCGGGACCCTTTAATCCGCAGGCCGATGCTCTATCCACTGAGCCACACCGGCCGGGGTGAATTTCTGGGTCTTTTTCTACAATTACACTGTGTCCCGGGCTCCAGAGTCGGTGCGGTCGGCCTCGTTCCTGGCAGCATGTTCTTAGTGTGTTTCCTGCCACGCGTGTCCTGGGTTGATGCTCTCGTTTCTCTCGTGTAAATTTGGAATTTATCCCCTTTTACTGACCTGCAGCTCTCTCCTCTCTGCAGGAATCGGGGGCCTTCAGGACTTCGTGCTGAAATCCGCAACCCTGTGCAGCGTGCCCTCCTGCCCGCCCTTCATCCCACTGGGCTTCGAGGCCACCCCGATCGTGAGGGTGGCTATCGAGCCAAAGCACCCAAGTAAGACGACCTCGTTCTTAAAAGCATGGGCGTTCCTGCTGCTGTTTATCCATTTACTTACTTATTTACTGGAGGCCCGGTGCATGAAATTCGTGCACGGGTGGGTGGGGGTGGGGGGGGTTCCCTCAGCCCAGCCTGCACCTCTACAATCCGGGACCCCTTGGGGGACGTGCGACTGCTGGTTGATGCCCAGGGATCAGACCTAAACCGGCAGTCGGACATCCCTCTGGCAATCCTGGACCGCTGGCTCCTAATCACTCACCTGCCTGCCTGCCTGGTCACTCCTCACTGCCCCTTTGCCAGCCTGATCACCCCTCACTGCCCCTCTGCCGGCCTGATCACCCCTCACTGCTCCTCTGCCGGCCTGATCACCCCTCACTGCCCCTCTGCCGGCCTGATCACCCCTCACTGCCCCTCTGCCGGCCTGATCACCCCTCACAGCCCCTCTGCCGGCCTGATCACCCCTCACTGCCCCTCTGCCGGCCTGGTTGCCCCTAACAGCCCCCCTGCCAGCCAGGTCACCCCCAGCTGCCCCCTTCTTGCCGGCCTGGTCGCTCCTAACTGCCCGCCCGCCACGCACCCCCCCATCCCCCGGCCTTGTCATCCCTCACTGCCCCCCCCCACCAACCTAATCACCCCCAACTGTCCCCCCCTGCTGTCCTGGTCGCCCCCAACTGCACACACACACACACACACCCCACACTGGCCTGGTTGCCCCTATCTGCCCCCCACACCCGATGGCCTGGTCGCCCCTCACAGCCCCCCTGCCAGTCTGGTTGCCCCACACAGCCTGGTCATAGGCAGCCATCTTGTGAGGGTGTGAGGGTTAATTTGCATATTACCGCTTTCTTACATAGGATTTTTAAATATATTTTTATTGATTTCAAGAGGAAGGGAGAGGGGAGGGGGAGAGAGAGAGAGAGAGAGAGACAGAGACATCCATGATGAGAGAGAATCACAGATCAGCTGCCTCCTGCACACCTCCCACTGGGGATCGAGCCCACAACCCGGGCACGTGCCCTGACCGGGAATCAAACCCTGACCTCCTGGTTCATAGGTCAGTGCTCAGCCACTGAGCCACACTGGCCGGGCCATGACACTCTTTAAATGCATCATGTGGGACGTGCGTCCTCGCATGCTGTTTCAGCCGTGTCCTGGGAACGTTCACGCAGGCCTGTCACTGAGGTGATCCTCCCAACCAGGAGGCCACAAGACCACCGACTCTTCAAGGGATGCCACCTCTCTCCCAGGAACGAGGCCTCCGTAGGCACCTTTGCTCCCCGGGGAGGCTGTGGCCTGCAGGTGCAGGGATGGAGCCATCTCTGCTTCCCGCCTGGGAGATCAGAGCATTGCTTCTCACAGCAACACGACCCCAGTGTAAATATCTTCAGAATGTCATCTCCATAGGCCATATCTTTTTCTTTTTTTAATATATATTTTATTGGTTTCAGAGAGGAAGGGAGAGAGAGATAAACATCAGTGATGAGAGACAATCATGGATCAGCTGCCTCCTACACGGCCCCTAGTGGGGATCGAGCCCGCAACCTGGACCTGTGCCCTGACTGGGAATCGAACCCAGGACCCTTCAGTCCACAGGCCGACGCTCTGTCCACGAGTCAGACTGACCACGGCACAGATCATTATTTTCAGCAGGAGGCCCTGGAGCCGTGTCCTGGATTGATTACCACCTCGAATGCTTCTTTTGCCTTTTTGTTGATATTTTGGGGACTGTTTAGGGAAGAGCCCTGTTGCAAGTCTAGGCGTGCAGTATGTGCAGTGGACTAAGTTCCAGTAGGGAGTTTCTGTGCAGTAAGTGCAGTGGACTAAGTTCCGGTAGGGAGTTTCTGTGCAGTAAGTGCAGTGGACTGGGTTCCGGTAGGGAGTTTCTGTGCAGTACGTGCAGTGGACCAGGTTCCGGTAGGGAGTTTCTATGCAGTACGTGCAGTGGACCAGGTTCCGGTAGGGAGTTTCTGTGCAGTAAGTGCAGTGGACCAGGTTCCGGTAGGGAGTTTCTATGCAGTACGTGCAGTGGACTAGGTTCCGGTAGGGAGTTTCTGTGCAGTGTGTGCAGGGGACCAGGTTCAGGTAGGGAGTTTCTGTGCAGTAAGTGCAGGGGACCAGGTTCCGGTAGGGAGTTTCTATGCAGTAAGTGCAGTGGACTAAGTTCCGGTAGGGAGTTTCTGTGCAGTAAGTGCAGGGGACCAGGTTCCGGTAGGGAGTTTCTATGCAGTACGTGCAATGGACTAGGTTCCGGTAGGGAGTTTCTGTGCAGTGTGTGCAGGGGACCAGGTTCCGGTAGGGAGTTTCTGTGCAGTAAGTGCAGTGCACTAGGTTCCGGTAGGGAGTTTCTGTGCAGTAAGTGCAGTGGACTAGGTTCCGGTGGGGAGTTTCTGTGCAGTGTGTGCAGGGGACCAGGTTCCGGTAGGGAGTTTCTGTGCAGTAAGTGCAGGGGTCCAGGTTCCGGTAGGGAGTTTCTGTGCAGTAAGTGCAGTGGACTAGGTTCAGGTAGGGAGTTTCTGTGCAGTATGTGCAGGGGACCAGGTTCCGGTAGGGAGTTTCTGTGCAGTGTGTGCAGGGGACCAGGTTCCGGTAGGGAGTTTCTGTGCAGTGTGTGCAGGGGACCAGGTTCCGGTAGGGAGTTTCTGTGCAGTGAGTGCAGGGGACCAGGTTCCGGTAGTTTCTGTGTGCTGAGTGTCGGAAGAAGTGTATGGATCCGCTTTGGGATCTTGCTGAGCACGTAAGTGTCGCACGTTAGCTGTCTATACAAATCAGTTACCAGACGGTAGTTTTCTTCTCATCGCCACTTGCAAGGAAAACAAACTGTTGTTTTAAGAGTTTATCTCGTCGTTCTTTTCCTTTCAATGGCAAGGACATTCTCTTTTTTAAAAAAAATAGATTTCAGAGAGGAAGGGCGAGGGAGAGAGAGATGAAAACATCAGTGACGAGACACAATCATCGACGGCTGCCTCCCGCACCACGGAGGGAGCCTACATCCCGGGCCTGTGCCCTGACCGGGAATCGAACCGCGACCTCCTGGTTCCTAGGCCGACGCTCAGCCCCTGAGCCAGGCCGGCCGGGCCGGGGCCTTCTCCTTCATTGTATTAGTCTGACGTCGTGTAGCTGATCAGCGTGTCATCCTGTCCATCCAGGTGAGATGCCCCAGCTCATCCGAGGGATGAAGCTGCTGAACCAGGCCGACCCCTGTGTCCAGATCTTAATCCAGGAGACGGGGGAGCACGTGCTGGTCACCGCGGGGGAGATCCACCTGCAGCGCTGCCTGGACGACCTGCGGGAAAGGTCAGCGGCCGCGGGGAGGGGCGGGCAAGGCGGCCCCAGGCCCTGGGCGCTCAGTGCTTCCCGACTGTCACAGACCGCAATCCCCGAGACATGGCCTGTCACATGTTATCGGGGCGGAGGCTTAGCTTTGAACACCTGACATTCACTTCCACCCTTGAATCATTTTGCATTTTTATTTTTTTATTATTTTTTTTAAATCCTCCCCTGAGGATATTTTTTTCTTTGATTGTTAGAGAGAGTGGAAGAGAGAGGGAGAGACAGAGAGAAACGCCGATGTGAGAAAGACACATCGAGGGGTCGCCTCCCGCGTGCCCTTGACGGGAATCGAACCCGGGATCCTTCAGTCCGCGGGCCGACACTCTGTCCACTGAGCCACACCGTCTAGGGCTCATGTGTCAAATCTTATTAAAGCATTTATTTCCCATTCAAAACATTCTTATCGAAATAGGTGGATTATTTATTTTGAGAATGAACACAACAGTGGAATCCTACTACAAGGAATGTTCCCATTAGACTTTCCAATCCGAAATGAAAGTGATTTATCTCTCAGAGTAAATGAACTTTTACGTTTCTGTGTTGTGGTTTTTTTTTGCAGAATTTTCATTGTGTGATATTTCTGGTGGGCGTTTCAATGCTGTTTTTGTTACACCTTCTGTTATGTGTCTCCTGGATCTGTCTGTAGGTTTGCAAAGGTCGAAATCAGTGTCTCCGAACCCATCATCCCCTTCAGAGAGACCATCACAAAACGCCCCCGAGTGGACATGGTCAACGAGGAGATCGGCAGGCAGCAGAAGGTGGCCGTCATCCACCAGGCCAGAGACGACCACAGCAGAGTCCCCGAGGGGGTTCAGGTGGACGCCGATGGGCTGGTCACCATGACAACGCCCAACAAACTGGCCACGCTCAGCGTCCGGGCCGTGCCCCTTCCGGAAGAAGTCACGCGGCTTCTGGAAGAAAACAACGACGTGATTCGTTCCATGGAGCAGCTGACGTCGTCTCTGAACGAGGGCAGGAGCGCTCAGCTGACCCAGAGGACCCAGGAGAGAATCCTGGGGTTCAAGGGCAAGCTGGAGCAGCACCTGACGGGCAGGAAGTGGAGGGACACCGTGGACCAGATCTGGTCGTTCGGCCCCAGAAAATGTGGGCCCAACATATTAGTGAATAAAAGCGCCGACTTCCGGAGCTCCGTGTGGGCAGGCCCCGCGGGCACCGCCACCCAGGAGGCCAGCCGGTACCGGGACGTGGGCAACAGCATCGTGAGCGGCTTCCAGCTGGCCACGCTCGCCGGCCCCATGTGCGAGGAGCCCCTCATGGGCGTCTGCTTCGTCCTGGAGAGATGGGACCAGAGCAAGTTCGAGGAGACAGGAGCCAGCGACAGTCGGGATCCGGGGGGAGAGGGGCCCGGCGGAGCGGCGAGCTGTGCCCCGGGAGACGGGGGCGAAGGGCGGCGAGGCGGCCACCCCGAGCCCGGTGAGAAGAGGGCGGCGCAGAAGGCAGAGCCGGCCCTGGCGGACTGCTACGGGCCCCTGTCGGGGCAGATGATCGCCACCATGAAGGAGGCCTGTCGCTACGCCCTGCAGGTGAAGCCGCAGCGTCTGATGGCGGCCATGTACACCTGCGACATCATGGCCACCAGCGACGTGCTCGGTAAGGAGGATTATGGGAAGTCTGGGTCAGAAAACGGCATCTCGCTTCATGTTGTCTTTTTCAATGTATTTTTATTGGTTTCAGAGAGGGCGGGAGAGAGAAACATCCATGATGAGAGAATCATGGACCGGCTGCCTCCTGCACGCCCCCCACTGGGGATGGAACCCGCAACCCGGGCCTGTGCCCTGACCGGGAATCGAACCCTGACCTCCTGGTTCCTAGGCCGACGCTCAGCCCCTGAGCCACGCCGGCCGGGCTCTCCCAGTGTCTCTCCCTTCGGGGGGGGGGGGGGGGGGGGTCCCTTAGGCCCTCAGCAGCCTGGAGCCCGGGCGCGTGGTGGCTGTTGACTTCGCCAGGTGGCATTGCACGGAGACTCATTTCCGCGCCTGTAAAGAGGGTGGTAATGCCTTGGACGCTGAGAACGTGAGTGTGAGAGCACAGTACAGGCCCCACAGCCACCCTGGCTCCCAGGGGCTGTCTCCCTCTGGCGATGGGGGCACGGCCTCAGCGGAGCGGAGGGTGGACGGGGAAGTGCCCGGAGGAGAGGGGCCGTTCGTGGTGTCCTCCGGCACCGAGGTCCTGGGAGTGGAACTGTGGCTGTTCTTTGCGGCTGGCTCTCTGGGGCCGGTTCGTCCCTAGAAGCAGAAGTCCCCATGGATGTTTCCCTGAAGGCGTGTAGGCTTGCCTTGCAGGGAGGGTCCTCGGGGAGGACTCGGCGTCCGAGCAGCATTGCAGGGACAGCCGGCTGGACACTCACAGCTGTGGGTGGAGCCGGCGTGCGCCGGGAGGCCCGTCCGCAAATGGGACACGCGGTGCTCAGTGCCTCCCCGCCTTCCTGAGCGCCGGTTCCTGCTGCCGTGGGACCCCCCGGGACCCAGCCCAGACCGCTCCCCGCTGCTGCTCTTCGTGTTCATCGCCAGCTTCCTTAACGTGAGCAGGCACAGGGAGCGGGAGAACCAGGGGCTCTGGCTCCCGCGGTTCCCGCAGACCTCAGAGCTCTGCCCGGGTCCTGCCCCGAGAGGTGCCCGTGCCCCCTGTGATGGCTTCTGTTGGGGGCAGCGCACAGCCAGCTCCAGGGTCTCCTCCGTGTTGAGCAGGAAGTCTCGTCTCCTGCTGGTTCCCGCCGTGCGGACCTCCCTTCATCCCTTTGACTTGCACTCACACTTCATCTTTTATAATCCTCCCCCGAGGTATTTTCCCATTGATTTGTAGAGAGAACGGAAGAGAGAGGGAAAGACACAGAGAAACATCCATGTGAGAGGAACACATCGATGGGTTGCCTCCTGCACGCGCCCCGACCAGGGCCCAGGCTGGGAGGAGCCTGTAACCCAGGCACGTGCCCTTGACTGGAATCGAACCCGGGACCCTTCGGTCCACAGGCCGACGCTCTATCCACTGAGCCACACCGGCCAGGGCCTCGCAGTCACACTTTCTGTGTTTGTTTTCTAGTTTTGTGTCCAGGGGAACCCCCTCCAGATCCCCCCACTGTCGTTGACAATACGGTTTTTGTTTCCTTTCACCATTCCCATCGCTGTCGGGTGGACATACTCTGCTTGGTCAGCTTCCCTCTCTTTCTTTTTTTAATCCTCACCCGAGGATATGTCTTTATTTTTATTTTTTAAATATATTTTTATTGATGTCAGAGAGGAAAGGAGCGGGAGAGAGAGAGACACATCAGTGAGGAGAGAGAATTGTGGATCGCCTCCTCCTGCTCGCCCTCTCCCGGGGATGGAGCCCCCAACCCAGGCCTGTGCCCCGACCACGAATCAGTTGGTGACCTCCCTCCCGGTTCATAGGCCGATGCTCAGCCACTGAGCCACGCCGGCCGGGCTGGTCAGCCTCTGGACACACCCCTCAGACCAGCTGGTGACCACACGCACTGCCTGGCAAAGAGCTGTGTTCGGGTCTGATCTGCTTTTCTTTCCCCTGAGGCGGTGGCAGCCCTCTTGCTGGAACTGGGGGATCCCCCTGAGCTCATTCTCTCACTGCTCTTGGGGAATTCTCTGGTCTCTGGTCTCCAAGATCCGTCAGAATAGCCAGCTCTCCCCGCTTCTCGTGTTTTCCTTTTGCTTCCTGAATCCCCTGCTGCACCCTGGCCGGTGTGGCTCAGTGGCTAGAGCGTTGGCCTGCGGACCGAAGGGTCCCGGGTTCGATTCCAGTCAAGGGCACGGACCTCAGGTGCAGGCTCCTCCCGGCCCTGGTCGGGGCACGTGCAGGAGGCAACCAATCAATGTGTCTCTCTCCCATGATGTTTCCCTCTGTCTCTCCCCCTCCCTTCCACTCTCCCTAAAAATCAATGGAAAACTATCCTCAGGCAAGGATTAACCAAAAAAAAATAAGTCGCCTCCTGCAGCAGAAGGAGTGAGGAGGCCTCGTGTTCCCAAGGCGGCTGCCTCCTGCCTGGCACTCGGAGCTCTGCCTCGAAGGCCGGGCCCTGCCGACAGTCGCTTTAGTTCCCCAACGACCCCCACAGACTCTCCACTGGTCGAATCCACTCCACAACCTCACCCTTCCCCAAACTAAATGGTGTCCTGGTCAATTGGAAGTCTTTTTTAAAAAAATATATTTTTATTGATTTCAGAGAGGAAGGGAGAGGGAAAGGGAGAGAAACATCAATGATGAGAGAAAATAATTGATCGGCTGCCTCCTGCACGCCCCCCACTGGGGATCGAGCCCGCAACCCAGGCATGTGCCCTTGACCGGAATCGAACCCAGGACCCTTCAGTCCACAGGCCAACGCTCTACCCACTGAGCCACACCATCCGGAGCTTCGTTTGAGCTTCCCCGGTTATCCCGATTCTGGCCGAGCGAGCGTGTGTTCCCCTGCCCACTCCCGTCCGCTCTGGCTTCGCTCCCGTGCCTTCCGCACCTCGAGGTTGCTGACGCTGAGGACACAGCCGTGAGCAGCACACGGCCTCGTCCCGAGGGCGTCACCCAGCGGGGCCGGTCGCTGGCCTCCGATGAGCGTGGCCGGGTCGGTCTGCACGGCCGCCAGCAGCCACACTCCCGGCCCGGCCCCAGCTCCATCTCACGCCCGTCGGGGCCCATCTGCATCCTGTGGCCACATCGGCTCCATTAGCCGTCGACGTAGCCGCCGGCTTCTCCGGGCGGCGGGAGGACAGGGTAGAGGGACCTGGCGTGGGAGACCCAGGAGCGCCCACCATTGCTGTGTTACCAACAGTAACAGAAGCCGCAGCCGAAAGAGAGACGACCTTCCCCTTGGAAGTCTGCCTTTCCCTTTCCGTCGCCTTCTATAATTTTTGTCCAGAATAGTCCGTTCTGTGTCCGCGCATCCTCGTGGGAGAAGCAGGCCCGCGTTTTGCTTTGCATTTATTACTGATTCCGTAGGCCCGCGTCCGTCTGGCCGCTCAGTGGTCATGATGTCGTGTCAGTTTGAGATGCTGTCAGTGACTTCCTGTCGCCCCCAAAGCGGGATCCACGGTGTTTCCTGTTTGTTTACTGTTAGAGAAAACGTGGCTGTGCACAGCTGTTTCCTTTCCTAAGCTCGGGGGGGAGAGGGGGCCCCCGTGACTTTAATTCCCACACTTCCGGCTCTGAAAATGGTAGAACCTGCAGACGGGTCTTCCTGCCCGTGATGGAGGGAGAGGCGCGAGTAATCCTACATTATAAAGACTGATGTGCTCATTAGACCGAACGGCCGAACGACCGTCTGGGTGAGCTTCCGCCCCTTGCACGAATTCCGTGCGCCGGGCCTCTCGTGGCCTGTGACGCCCAAAGGAGCACCCAGGGCAGTGCAGCCCCAGTGGCGACGAGATTGCTCCGAGTGTGGCTGTCAGGGGAGACTGTGGGGCAGTTGCTTTTGAACGGGCTTGGGCCATGACGAGGATTCGATGATGGGGACGGCCGGAGTGTGTCCCGGGCGGCAGAGACCGAGCTCTGAGGGGGGAGCCTGGCGTGGCCTGTGGGCGCGGAGTGGCCTGCCTGAGCGCGGGGTCCTCGCTGGTCTGGGGGCCCCAGGGCTGAAGTAGAGGCTCACAGGGCCTAAGGGCCTCGCGTACCGGCTGAGACATGGAGGGTGAGATCTGTTTATTTTTATTTGTATTGATCACAGAGAGGACGGGAGGGGAAGAGAGAGAGAGAGAGAGAGAAACATCAGTGATGAGAGAGGATCATGGACCGGCTGCCTCCTGCACGCCCCCTCCTGGGGATCGAGCCCACAACCCGGGCATCTGCCCTTAACCTGGAATCGAGCCGTGACCTCCTGGTTCACAGGTTGACGCTCAACTTCTGAGCCACACCAGCCGGCCGGGCGAGGTGAAGTCTTTAAAAGGGGAGCCCTGGTCAAAACTGTTTCAGTCGACTGTTGTGTTGCCATTTATTCCGTTGGATGTCTCTCCCTCGGTGCCTGGCTTACAGCGGGCACCCAGCCTTCCCTGTGTGTGTGAGGTGTGATGGGACAGATGCCCAGCTGAAGGGCTATCAGAATATTAGCAGTGAGCCCTGGCTGGTGTGGCTCAGTGGATAGAGCGCCGGCCTGTGGACCAAAGAGTCCCGGGTTGGGTTCCGGTCAAGGGCACGGACCTTGGTGGCAGGCTGCTCCCCGGTCCGGGCCCTGGTCAGGGCACGTTCAAGGAGGCAGCCCATCCATGTGTGTCCCCCACATCGACATTTCTCTGTCTCTCCCTCT